AGGACACACACTTTTTGTATGTGTCCTATTTTTAGTAATGTTGCAATTAGGTATTTCTATTTAATTGAAGTCGACATAGTAGTATATAAATTATGCGGATTTAGGGGGCACCCCATTTTATTTATATTTTATAATATTTTAATTAAATCGCGAGGGACACGAATCTGAATTTTCCCAAAATATCGACATCTTTGATGTCTCTAGAATCTCACATTCGTTTCGATTCTTCGGAGACACAACGCGAAGCGGCATCGAAGATGCAGTCTACTTGAAGACCTTTGGTCCGTTCGGTGTAAATTTATATTAATGTAATTTTTTATTTTCCTTAAATGACTGAACAAATTAATAAACTTGATTATGATAAAGATGTTGATGATTATGTTAAATATGATTTAGATAACAAATCCTTATTTGTCGATCTTGGATGTGAATATAAAATTTAAATTAGAAGAATGGAAAGATTTAAAGAATATTTGAATGATTATCTTAAAACTATACAAAGTAATGAAAATGTAATATATAATTACCAAACCAATGAAGGTTGGAGTAAAACAGATCCTTTAACAGATAAATATGCTTTGAACAAATTGATTAAGGTTCTAGAAACAAGAATATTTGATCATGATGAAATAATTAAAGCTGTAAACGCAGATTATGATACCGATATACCAGAACCTATAATTGTGATAAAAATGAAAGTATCTATTTATAAATATTATTTCTCGGTTTACGGCGTGAGTTTCTCGTCAAATAATTTACTAACATCTAAATTATTAACAGTAATATAATGTTCTAATATCGGAAGCATCTTATTAATAATTCCATCTCTCATATTATTTTGATTTTTTTCTAATTCTTCTATTTTATTAAGTAATAATACTAATTGTTCTTGTTTTTCGCCCTCTATATTTTTGATTTTATTGTCAAGATCATTTTTAGTAATTCTATGTTGTTTCTTAATTAATGTTTGTTTACCTTTAATTTTACAAAATACATAACCATTAATATAAATAGTAGCATTTAAATCTTTTGTATTGATTAAGTTAACTTCTGGATTATTATTAATATATCTATTGATTTCTTTGTTACATTGTTTTAACATATCTATTTCTTTTAAATTGTATTTGTTTATTATATTATGTAAAGCTATAATATGTTTAGAAGTAATATCAGATAAAGTTTCACCACATCTAATAGATGTGTCGATGCTTCGCTCAGCCTTCGGCATGACGCTTTGCTCAATATAACATTCATCTTCACTTTCGTCATTTGGAGAATAAGACATACCAAATACTGTTTTTGGTGTTGGAGCTTTGCTCCCGCTACGATCCTTCGGATCTGAGGAACTTCGTTCTGTACATGTTGGAGCTTTGCTCCCGCTTCGCGTTGCATCTCTTACTTTAATAATTTCAGAAGTATCTATTTGTTTTAATGGGTCCGTCTTTGTAGTTTGATTTGTTTTGTCTAAAGATAACAAATTTTTGAAAAATGTTTTTAATGACTTTGATTTTGATTGAGAAGTATTATATGTACTCATTTATATTAAGATAAAAATAAAAATATATTATTTATATATTACTAAATATATTATTAATAAAGTAATATTAATGTATTATTATAATAACTATAAAAATAACATACTCAATAGATGTCTTCAGATAAAATGTAAAATATATTACTTTGTTTTTACAGTTTATGAAAACCTTATAACTACAGTTCGTACGGACCGTAAATATCTATTAAATTACCTGAACTGTAATTTCATTAATTAAAAATATTCTACCATCTTTTTCTTTACAATAACCATAATCCATAAAGTTTTGAAATTTTTATTTATTTTTTTATCAACTCAATTTTGAATTGTATATTTTTTGGTCACACTTAAAGTGAATGAGTTTGTTTGTGTAAAACAAGAGCAAAGCTTAAAAAAGAAAGATGGGGTCTAATGATGGTTTGATATATTTGGTTGTTTTTTTATAAAAAGTTTATTGTCATTTGATTATAACGTAAATAGTGTTTGTATAGTAGTTATATTTGTTAGTGTGACTATTTGACGTTGTTTGTTATTAAGTGGATTGACGATGTAGCGTTTTTTTATATTAAATGTTGAAACATTATAAAGTGATATGAAATTTCGTCCAAAAAGATTATTTTTGATCAATCTTAAGTAATTGAGTTCTCATTTGTTAATTATTTTAAGTAAAATAAAACTGACTATTGGCCGGTTTGGGTTAGAAGGGGGTTTCAAATAAAAAATAAAAAAAAATGATTTGGACAATTTTCTTTTTACTTATTTTTCTTCTTAAAAAAAGTTTTGGGTTGTGAAAGTGTTAAGGAAAATAAAAAATTACATTAATATAAATTTACACCGAACGGACCAAAGGTCTTCAAGTAGACTGCATCTTCGATGCCGCTTCGCGTTGTGTCTCCGAAGAATCGAAACGAATGTGAGATC